CTTAAAGGCAGAGTAAGTGATTTCTGGTAGCCAATGTTGATATTTGAAATCACCAAAACAAACACGCCCCTAAATTTCAAATGGTTTTCAACGGTCGTTTGATCGCGTCTAGTGTAGGCAGACTTTAGCTGTTGTAGGCACGGTGTTACTCACCTATTGAGAAGAAACAAAGCAACCTTGGTGTCCGATCGCAGGCCTCGGTCCTTGAGTTCTCTCCGGCGCTGGAAAGCTGATCCGATATTTACACGGGTCCTACTTCTTGCCTTATCGTTCCGCAGACGTTTTCCTCTTTTGTTTTTTATCCGCCATCTCTATCTTTCTGTCGCTCGGCTCGGCTAATGTCCGTCCCATGCACTTAAAGCTCTCTCCTCCACATCACGAGTAGACACGCCCCTTATTGCTGATTGGCTACAAGTTTGTTTTGTTATTCGGCCCAAATCAGTTTTCTAAAGTGTTTTTGAAAAATCACATACCCTGCCTTTAACTGTATGGTGTGGAAAGAGGCAGAACCATAACACACCTCATTGGGGTCCCTAAATGGAAGCAAATGTCCAGCCTGTCTGCTACTGGCAGTGCAATAATAAACTGAACACTACACACGCTACACAGTAAAATGGATTGTAAATCGCTATTTTAAGTAAAAAGGATTATAAAACGCAAAGCAAGATAAAGTTTATGAGAATAAGTGTGTGTGTTTGTGGTTATTCAGTGTGTTTGAGGAGTGTACGTACCATGACCGTTGGCGATGCATTTGTTGGGTCCTTTGCTCTTGCGTGGAGTGGACTGGCAGGAAGCAGTGGCATTGCTAGCACCGTCTTCTTCCTCTTCCTCATCCTCTTCCTCATCTACATCTTCATCATCTTTAGCACTACCAAAGTATGTCATGTTGCTGGGCAACGCAGCAGAGCCTGAACCAATGAGAAAGAGGATAAAGACAAAATGAGGGAGTGTCATGCAGAGAGACACACAGTACGAGTTAGAACACAGTTTCAGTCTTCACATATCTTGCTTTGTAAGAAACCTGAATACCCTTAAAGAGATCACCAAAAATGCAAATTCTGTCATCATTTACTTAAACCTTTATGACTTACTTCTGTGGAACATAAAAGAAGATTTTGTGAAGATTTTTTTTTTTGGTACTACACCACCATTCATACATTCCAAGTATGAGGTCAGTAAGATTAATAATATAATATAATATAATATAATACATAAGGTCAGGGCACATTAATCAGAAGTGACAGTGAATACATTTATAATGTATACAAAAGATTTCTATTCTATTCTATCAATTCATCAAGGAATCATGAAAAAATGGCTGCTGAAAACTCAGCTTTGCCATCATAGGAATAAATTCCATTTTAAAATGTATTCAAATAGAAAACATTTTAAATGTTAATATTTCACAAAATTACTGCTTTACTGTATTTTTGATCAAATAAATACAGCCTTGGTGAGCACATCTTATAAAAAATGAAAATATCTTACAGACTCTGAACCTTTAAAGGGTATTGTACACTTAATTAAAACAATTTACAATGATTGACTTCAGTTTCTATTTTACAAAACAACACTGGACCCCACTGACTTTCACTGTATAGGAAAAAAAAACATTTTTCAAAATATCTTTTGTGTTCTGCAAAAGAAACAAAGTCATATATGTCTGAAACAACATGATGGTGAGTAAGTTAAAAAATGTTTTCATTAATCAGTCAGATTTAAGATGTTTCTGTGTTCTGTGTTTTGCAGTCATTCTCTCCGAGAGCACTATAACTAGAAGATAACTTCCTAAAACTCTGGTGTGAGCATTTGTATACTGTGCAAAGCTCCATATCCTGTTTAACTTCACTGTCCCAGCACTGTGAGAGGAAAAGCCGTTAAATGTGACAGCAGAGTGGTCCAGTCCAGCACTCATCTCATGTGCTACTGATCCTCACTGAAAGGTTCAGTGCTCACAATGGAGAGCCTGTTCACAAGCTTTATTCCACATTCCCTCAATAGGCATTTATCTGCACCCGAGTCACTGGGTCCGTGGTGCTCGAGTGTGCTGTAGCATGTGATTGTGTGTGCATGCGTGAGAGAGTGTATATGTGCACCTGAGGAGGGGGTGGGGAACGGGACAGACTACTGAGAGAGACATAGAGAGGAGAAGTGGCCTGACTGCTTTTGAATCAATCCACTTCTCCAACCACAATAACCAATAGAGTGTTACATTTATATTGCAACCTGGTCATATCTGCCATTATTTGAGATCAATAGAAATGAACTATGTGAAACCCTATTAGCGACTGGTTATGGACAGCAAGCTCTAATCTCCAGGTGAACTGAGAGCCCAGCTGAATGGTGAAAGAAAGGATCTCTGGGCCCCCTAGATTACGCAGCAAGGCTCTTTAGGCCTATCATCGAGGGCTTTAATAAGGGCTCCTGGGGGCTTTGAGCTATTGGCTATTGTTCACATCTCAAGAGGCAACTGAATGATTCTTCGATTCCTTTCTGATAATGCCAGAGGTTTTGCAGAGCCATTTCAGGGCGAATATTAATGAATGTGATTTTCATCTCACAATTACTACTCTGCAGTAATACAGCCGATCATTTGCTGTGATAAAGTATTCAACTCTCACTTTCATTCATTAACATGATATGCATAATTTCACTATCTGCAGGGAATAGGTCTGCGTTTAGTCCAAGTATCCTTTTATTTTTTGGAAAGAGTCACGACTCATGACGTCCTCTGATTTTGAATTCGTCCTCGAAGCAAAGCATGCCTTTGCTTGAGGGTTTTTGTGCATGAATCTGAATCTGTTTTTACATCTGTCCCTTATGGGCTGATGGAGAATGAGAGTGAGAGAGAAAGAGAAGGAGATAAAAAAAGAGAGACAGGCTAAAACAGCAGAACTAAAATATATGCATGATTGAATATTGAATGATGGCACCCAAATCACATGTATAATATATACAATAGTATAAGTATATATAATTATTACTACCATTCGAAAGTTTGGGGTTGTTAAGATTTTTTTTTTTAAGGTTTGTGAAATAAATATTTTATGCTCACCAAAGCTGCATTTATTTGATAGAACTATAGTAATAACAGTAATATTTTATTACAATTTAAAATAATGATTTCCTATTGTAAAATATTTTAAAACTGATTTTTTTTCCAGTGATGACAAAGCTGAATTTTCAGTAGTCATAACTCCAGTCTTCAGTGTCACATGATCCTTCAGAAATCACTCTAATATGCTACTTTGGTGATCAAGAAACATTTCTTATTAATTTATGTTGAAAAAGTTGTGCCGCTTAATAATTTTGCGGAAAACAGGATACATCTTTTTCAGGATTCTTTGATGAAAATAAAGTTCAAAAGAACAGCATTTATTTGAAATAGAAACCGTTTGTAACATTATAACTGTCTTTACTGTCACTTTTGTTCAATTTAATATTTCCTTGCAAAGTAAAAGTATTAATGTCTTTCAAAAAATAAAATCTTATTGGCCCCAAACCTTTGAATGCTGTAAATAAACAATAGTAAAATAAACTACAAAAAGACAATTTGTAATTATTTTTCATTAAAGGGGTCATCGGATGCAAAATTTACTTTAAGTAAACAGTCTCTCTGAGAGCAGCTCGGAAGAGAGGGGCGGGGCCAGCAGAGCTCATTAACATTTAAAGCAACATGGACTATAATGGCTTGATAAAAACAGAGCTGATTTTGACAGGTTTAAAAAGGTGTTTTTTTACACTAACATTGAGAAATTTTAACCAAAGTATGTTATAGACTTTTAATTAATACCCTAAAGGATCATATCAACTTGTGCAAAATGAGCATCCGATGACCCCTTTAAGTAATTTTAGTGAGGTTTAATTAAGCAGCTTTTAGGAGCAGACAACAAAAAATAAATACATAAATAAACGATTTTACACTTATAAGTGACATCTGTGCTTCCTCGCTCATGAGAAGCACCAGCCGCCAGTGCATCTGAGTTATGGCTTATGGCATCTATTAAATCAGCCTCGACTTGTGTGACACTACAAGCTCAGGTTATATTTTAAAAATCCATAAACTGATCCATAATGCCACTCTCTCATTTACGTTCGCTTTCAGTTCTAACCCAATAACGAAAAGAGGTTTGATATGATGAAGGGAAGGAATGGAGACTGGGATAAGATGTTCTCATTTACATTCTTTATGTTTGAAAATCCATTAACCCACTTTGCCCTCAGCCAAGGGTCCATTGCAAATCCAATCAGTCTGTTCCCTGTCTTTACACAGCCGTGTATGAGAAAGAAGAGAGACGGAGAAAGTTAACCATTTCAAAGTAACGTGGGAAATGCGAGTGAGTGGGAATGGATAGAGAATAAGAGAAAGTATGACGTTAACTCAATTTGTGTCCTCTATGTTTGTTCTGCCAGAAAAGTGGAGAAGAAAAATATGATGAAGGACTGCAGCAGAATGTATAGCCGCCACCAATCCAGACTTTGGTGATGTTAGCACTGTTTTTACATGCACAAATTTACACCAATTAAGCTTAATTATTTTATCTGGTATATGTAAATGTTTGAATTGTTCAAAGTTCTGGTGACTTATTATGTGCACATCATGTGAGTTTATCTGTTTATGCTTTAATTTCGCAACCAATGTTACTTTAGTATTATTTATATATTATTATAGTGTTCATTAATATTTAAGAATTAGCTTTTATTTTTATATTTTCAGTTTTATTTTCATTTTAGTTTTTAGCTATTTTATGTGCTTTTGTCATTTTTATTTCTATTATATTTCTATTTAGTTTTCATTTATTTTTATTTCCGTTTTAATTTTAGTACTTCAAAATTATTTTACTTCAGTTAGTTGCCAAGGCATCATTTCTAATTTTCATTAAAGTTTTTTTGTTAATTTTATTTAATTTTCATCTAATATTTTTTTTTATTTGTATAGTTTTAATTTAATTTTAGCTTTATTTTAATTAATGAATTTGTAACAGTTTTAATTTTAGTTAACAATAACAACACTGGTAAAACATTAAAATTTGACATTTAATTTTTAAATTTTAACATTTTAAAATTTCAATGTTTTATGTCAGTTATCACATTTATTAACGTTTTGTTGTACATGTAAATATATTCACTGATGCTCTCTCTCTCTCATAATATTTACAACATATGCAACCCAACTAAATCGAACTGACTTGAAATATTCTGCTTGCTTAACAGATGTTTGGATCAACACACCACAGATATGTTTGTCCAGTCAATGGAATTTTATATTTAAAAAGAAAACAAAAGCGACCTGCATGTATAGCGCAGGATCTCAAATTAATTTCCAATTAATTCTCCTCATAAACTTGAATAGTATAACTCCAATGAATAAGAAGAAATTCCTCATCTTCAGGAGCTTTTCATTGCCATTGTCACCTTTGACCTGCTTACTGGAATTGAAAATGTACACTGTGAGATCAGCCAAGACACAAAATAAATAACAGCAGCACACACAAGAGAGTCACCCAAAAGTTTGCCAGCAATAACCGTGACTCCCATGTGAGAGGTGAATATGTGCTGCCCAGAGGTGGAGAATTATGGAACCAGTAAACATTTTAAGAGTTGATAGAATGGGAAAATGAAGACAGACAGAGAGCAGACCCACCTCTTAGGCAGAGGAAGGTAAGGAAGTCTTCGGTTTTGGGTTTGCGTCTTGTGAGATGGTTGAGCCTGGCTGGGCTTGGGGGCATGCCCTCCAGCATTTTCAGTGGGGTGGCATTGGGAGAACAGGGATGAGACTGAGCAAACTTCCTCTGAGCCTGCAGTCTTGGCCTGGTATGAGAAACAGGGAATTAGGGAAATTAAGGGATTAGTTCTCCTAGAAATGAAAATTCTGTCATTATTTATGCATCTTTCCATCCTTCATTTATTCATCAAACAATTTTGAAAGCTTTTACTAGTCAAACTTTTCCAAGCATTTACACTGACTCCTTTCCTTTTCCCTTTTATGTTACACTGAAGAAAGTCTTGTGGGTTTTGAGTAAAATGAGAATAAATGATGACAGATTTTTCAAGTTAGTTTTTTTTTTAGTATCTTTCATTTGTTCATTTCAAAAAGTTTTTTTTCCTTATATGGAAACATCCTTTGGTAGGAAAAGAGATGTTAATCTAATCGTATAGAAGACCTGCAGAGGGAAGCATTTTGGTCTGATATATAAAAGCTCAGCAAAAAGTCTGACTATGTAAGTCATTTTTTAATTGGCCAACAGCACAGTATGTTGTGATTTGATGCTTGGATGTCCCCACCAAAGTAAAAAAAACCAAGACATTTGATGTTTTGCTGGTAAACAGTATGGATTAGCCTAGAATGTAACTTCATACTGTATCTTTTTGGCAATTCAAGTTATAAATCAGTTGTTTATACTATAGTGCCACAATATACTGTGCAGGAAATCTCACACAGAATAGTCTTATTAAACTCACCTCTTTCTGACAGGCCCCTCTATTGAATACTCATGGCTGCAGTCTTTGCTCTGAACTGCATGTTGTGTCCGGTCTGACTTACAGCTTCCTGCGAACCGCCCAGCTTTAGCTCTCGGACCATTCAGATGACCATTTGCAAAGGAGCCTGGGAAAAGAAGGTGTGGTTCAAGTTTAAGCAATAACCATATACACAGAGAAGAAAATGTTTTGCTCTAACCTATTTTCTTTTTTTTCTTTTTTTACATTGCTATGACATAGATATGTTCACATGTGAAATAAACAAATCTAAAGGGTGTAGCACCCACAGCAACTCTTCAAGGCCTCTGAAATGAAGAAGAGGTTTGAAACAGGATTTTTCAAATCATTCAGTCTAAGCACTGGAGTGAACAAACACAAGAGGACACTCAGACTAAGAGCACACTCAGAATGAACCGACAGGAAGTAGGGAAAACCACAATGCCTCCAGTTTATCTAAGGTTTCAGTCATGTTAAGTAGCCAAAAATAAACGTTTAGTGTGTTAACAAAAAATATAACATGTGCATGAGTTATTGTCTATCCTCTTCCCCATCATACAAAATTGAGAATAAAATGGCTCTATCAGCATTTATGGGACCACATGAGAAACTTCGATGTAACGATCATGTCCATTGGTAACACAACAGTTAAATAGGCACAAACATATTTTACATTAACCAATTTAAATTTATTTTCATGTTAAAAATTGCAAATAATATTACATTCATAACATAAATTGATTAATGATATCAAATTATTAACTACATCTTTTATATTATGTAAATATTTATAATATATAAATATATTTGCATTAGACATAAAATTATTGATATTAAAATTGATATTTTAAAATTACATTACATTAATAAATAATTTAATGCCAATACTGTGTATACATAGAGAAGGATTAATTACTTGTATTACTTTAATTATTTATTTATTTATTTACACAAGTACGTCTGCGTTTGATGATGTGCCCTGGAAAATTCTAAACAAATTCTGTCAAGTGAAGTGAACTTCAGCAGAAACCTGTGAATCACAATGCAGCTTTTAGAATTTTTAGAAGTCTGCCTGATGCCTTTTAATTACAGAGAATGCGAAAGAATCTCTGAATGCAATGATCGCAATGCAGTGCTTTTGATTACAAAGCAATTCAAAGGAATCCTTAAGTGTTAGTTACTGAATGCATATAAAGCGGAGAGCTCGTGAGGTGTTCGGTTCATGCCCTTGACATTCTCTGAGATGATGCACTGCACCATACACAGGCAGGCAGGTCACTGAGTTCACCCCATTAGAGTGCAGTGATTTGAGAGCAGAGAGGGCGCTTCACAGCCCAAGCACATGAAACCCATACAGAGAGGGCATTATTAAGGGCATAATTTACTTTGCTCACACATTTTCAGTGCAATCATGGCAGAACAATAATACTCCTAATGGACCACTGAGATGCTGAGGAAATCAAGAAAAGTCCCACAGTGCCATGTGCCTCCCTGAGTGTCACAGCTGGCTCATGATCTCAGCAACTAAGCTAAAAGAATTCATCGAATACCAATGCACCTTCAAAATACCACATCAGACTGCACATTTCAGAGCATTTTAGTAGATAGAAGGGCGAATACATCAAGTAAATTATGTAATATGTTCATTTGTGCCTGAATTAATCAAAAAGAATGAACCACTGTTATTTCACATAGAACAGGATATGAATTAAATTCATGAATATGACCAAGGTGAAGACTTGGCTTATCAATATTAATTAGCTAATATGCCTCGAAAGATTACCTGGCAATGTCAGCATGAGCTCAGTCTCAGTGCCATATAATGATGTTTTAAAAACGCATTGTAGCACCGCTGTTAAGTTATGATATTCTCAGCATATCGTTTCCTAAAGGGGTTCAGAATGGCAGCTGAAAGCAGCAGCGTCAGATGTTGAGGGTCACAGAAGTGAGATCTTTGCTGCAGCTGTTCTAAAGGTCAGCACCCATCTGTAGTCGAGATCACTGAAAGCACTGCTCTAGAAAAGATGTATACTCACCATTAATTATTCCAGTGCCATTCTCCACTTTGCTCTTCCGAGCCGTCTTAAACTCTTTAAGTGAGAGGTAGAGCACCCGGCGGACCACTCTCTCTTCCGACCATGGGATCCCATCGTTATCATCCTGCAGAAGGAAAAAAAGCTTATTTTAGAGCTCTAAAAATGAAACAGATGTGACCTAAAGCCATCTCACAAGAAAAATTTGCTCTCTAAATAAACTGTTTTGGGTTAATTAGTCAAACAATAGTCAAATAAATGAAATGACAAACACAGAGTGGACAAGGAAAAAAAAGTATTCTTGTATTGTGAAACCACAGCTATACAGACAGAGGGCTGTGCTATAAATAGTGCAGTTGGCTGCAGTTTCTCCATCCCAGCACGTGTCAGAAAGCATTTTATAACTGAATGCTCCAAAAGCAATCACAACAAATGCTCTCAGTGTTAGTATAACATTTGTTCCCCACAGATTAGCTAATGTGTTGTAGTAAGACATCTTTCAAACTAGGTAGCTGAATGACCTCACTGTTTTTCACATTTCTCTTAAAGCCTCAAAACATGTCTTTCATTCAGTAACGTGATCTCTTATAAACTGTTAAATCTCTTTAGTATAACAGTCCATTGCCTTAGCCCATCAATAAATCTCCAGAAATGGGGTAACAACCATGCTTGGTCTCAATCATGTCCTCTAGTGTTGCACTGTCACTAAATTGCCCACCAACAGGCTAGTTATAACTTACAAGGGAAACAAGACACTTTTAGGAGAAAAAAAAATGTACAAAGCTGTCACTTAGGTATCATAAAGTACATTACTGCACCTTATTTACCCCTAAATGGTACATATTAGTGCATTTGATGCACATTTTAGATACCTTAGGGTACCTAGTGACAGCTTTGTACCTTTTTTCTGAGAGTATACGATGGTTCAGGAGGTTTTAATGCCAAGAATCTCCAAATAGGTGAACTGCTCACATTCACCCAGTTTCCTGCATTGAAGTTGAACTGAAGTGAGTCAGCCCTCTGAAAGTAGTTCTACAGCATGAGAGGCCAGAGGCCAAACACAGAGGAATGTCATATAATTGTCACTGCATTTGGCACTTTCATGAAGCCAGGTTTGATATTTTACATATGTGATTTATTGTTATCACTACAAATGTACCTTATTTTAGCAAACTGATTCTGATAGCAAGAATAAAAGATGTATACTCACCATTAACTATTCCCGTGCCATTCTCCACTTTGCCCTTCTGAGCCGTCTTAAACTCTTTAAGTGAGAGGTAGAGCACCCGGCGGACCACTCTCTCCTCCGACCACGGGATCCCATCGTTATCATCCTGCAGAAGGAAAAAAAGCTTATTTTAGAGCTCTAAAAATGAAACAGATGTGACCTAAAGCCATCTCACAAGAAAAATTTGCTCTCTAAATAAACTGTTTTGGGTTAATTAGTCAAACAATAGTCAAATAAATGAAATGACAAACACAGAGTGGACAAGGAAAAAAAAGTATTCTTGTATTGTGAAACCACAGCTATACAGACAGAGGGCTGTGCTATAAATAGTGCAGTTGGCTGCAGTTTCTCCATCCCAGCACGTGTCAGAAAGCATTTTATAACTGAATGCTCCAAAAGCAATCACAACAAATGCTCTCAGTGTTAGTATAACATTTGTTCCCCACAGATTAGCTAATGTGTTGTAGTAAGACATCTTTCAAACTAGGTAGCTGAATGACCTCACTGTTTTTCACATTTCTCTTAAAGCCTCAAAACATGTCTTTCATTCAGTAACGTGATCTCTTATAAACTGTTAAATCTCTTTAGTATAACAGTCCATTGCCTTAGCCCATCAATAAATCTCCAGAAATGGGGTAACAACCATGCTTGGTCTCAATCATGTCCTCTAGTGTTGCACTGTCACTAAATTGCCCACCAACAGGCTAGTTATAACTTACAAGGGAAACAAGACACTTTTAGGAGAAAAAAAAATGTACAAAGCTGTCACTTAGGTATCATAAAGTACATTACTGCACCTTATTTACCCCTAAATGGTACATATTAGTGCATTTGATGCACATTTTAGATACCTTAGGGTACCTAGTGACAGCTTTGTACCTTTTTTCTGAGAGTATACGATGGTTCAGGAGGTTTTAATGCCAAGAATCTCCAAATAGGTGAACTGCTCACATTCACCCAGTTTCCTGCATTGAAGTTGAGCTGAAGTGAGTCAGCCCTCTGAAAGTAGTTCTACAGCATGAGAGGCCAGAGGCCAAACACAGAGGAATGTCATATAATTGTCACTGCATTTGGCACTTTCATGAAGCCAGGTTTGATATTTTACATATGTGATTTATTGTTATCACTACAAATGTACCTTATTTTAGCAAACTGATTCTGATAGCAAGAATCGTAATCATGCTGCCCCCCCCCCCAACCCCCGTGACAGCTACGTGAAATACTTGAGATGATTAGGACGATGTGAAGTGTTTGACCCCAGCTTAGAGCCTCCCCACAGCACACAAAGAAAGTGGCACTCTCTAGGGAACTTCTAGTCACCATGGAGACGGTCTTCCACAGGTCTATTGTGGGGGTCATGTGAAAGTCCCAGTCAGGGTGAACTCAAAACGATATGACATTTCACAAGCAACAGCCAAGCTGTATTATTTATGAGATTATGCAAGTAGGGTCCCACAAAAAGAGCCACTAGAAAGTGGAAGCCACAATCAATAAAATGCCAGACAGAAAAGGAAATGCTTCTCTGATAATACGAAACCCCAAAAATATCATCTGTACTTAAACCACTTTAAACTATGTTGTTTCTATATTAATTTGGAGGTTCAATGTAAACATGTGTTTATGATTAAAATAGTAATTAATTGGTTAAATGTTTTTAATCAATTGACAGCACTAATATATACACACACATTACTGTTGAAAAGTTTGGGGTTGGTAAGATTTTTTAAAACTTTTTTCAAATATGTCTCTTATACTCACCAATTTATTAGATCAAAAATACAGTGAAAACTGTAGTATTGTAAAATATTATTACAATTTTATTACAATATTAAAATTGTAAGAATGGCATTCATTTAAAACAGAAATCTTTAGTAACAATGTAAAAGTCTTTAATGTCACTTTTGATCACTTCAGTACATCCTTGCTGAATAAAAGTATTTATTTCTTTCACAAAAAACTTTGCAACGATGGCGTACAAAATACACAATATATACATAAATATGAATATTATGAATGTCATTTGGCTTTAAACTGTGATTTTCTCCTTCAATTATAAGACTGATAAATGGGTCTATATTGCACTAGATTTAAAGCACAAAGCCTGTGCATTACTGAAGGATGGAAGCACTCTGGATTTATGGCCAAATTCACTGATCTTATGCCAGCACAAGGTCCGTTGCCAATGCCAATGCTTGGAAATTGGCAGTTAAGTGAGTGATTCTCCTTGTCTATTATTTGATCAAGAAGGCCTGACACACCTCATAAAAGAAAAGCAACAATGTAACTTCTCAATTATCACTAAACATGCCCGTTTAGCCCAATAAAATACACTGTGCACTAATGTACATATAGAAATTTCCATTTAAGGAAAGGTCTCATATCAGTACATTAAATCGAAGATAGCACATGAGCCCAGTATCTCCTAAATCAATTAAACACAAGATTCATGTTGCTCATTTAACTGTCATAATCAGTTCCTCTGTGATAACGGCCTCATATGCATCTTCCTTTTAACCACATCAGTTTGCTATTTGTGCATGTAGCTCCGAGCAGCTTTTACAATTACACTAGCATCTCCCACCACACATCTCTAAACCGTGAGCTGGCTTTTATTACGCGGACAGCAACCCTGTCAATTATTGATAAAGGTGTATTGTGTCTGAAGTCATGAGGATAAGTCTGTCACCATAAGCACAATGCAGATCTTTCATGCTAGTGACATATATAGGTTGAATTAGAGGACTTTTTACATGTTTACATTTGGAGTCGATAATCCAAAGATCAAGTAAGGCATCAGAACAACAACAAAGAGCAAAAAAACAAACAACAGAGGACAAAGTCAGAGCACTAACGGCAGAATAATAGGCTGCAGACTGAAGCTTGTTTAATTCTAGTGTGTGGGTTTGATTTGCATACAGATAACTTGTAAAATGGCTTTTATTAAACATGTTGGCTTTAATGAGTAAACTGCTTCCTTATGGATTTCTACAGCTTGAGTCCATAGCAATTTACATAATCAGGATGAATCTTTACCTAAAGTTTTGCACAGACATTGATTCAGACAGAGCTCACCAATGTTAGTTGGGTCTGCGAGCGCTGCTTCGCACAGATCAGATTTAATCAGGGCAGCAGGAGCAGACGGGCTGTGGGCCAGCCTGCTAACATATCAAATCTGACCTTGCTATCTATCTCAGACCAGTCACTGGCCACTCACACACACACACACACAGCTGACTTACTACTAATGTTAACAAAAGCAAGCTGGCATGAAAGTAAAAACGGATCTATTATTTACCCAGGGCCAACAACCTGATGTTAAAACCGGCCTATCAGCACCGTACAAGCATCGATTGTAAATGACTGGCATAAGCTTCTCAAATAAGCCATTCAACATCCCTCAGTGTCACACATCCACTGCATTCACGAAGAAAAATCTAGTGACAACATGAAATATTCCTGAAAATATGGAACTGGAAATGAATTCACAGGGGCTGTAAAGAGGGATGCATGATATATCTGCCCTATACCGGTTATCTGAGAATATCCATCTATATATATATATATATATATATTTTTTTTTTTTATAGGATAGGATATATATTGGAAATTATTTTATCATTAATACTGGATATTTAATTGTTGCTGCATATTTTAAATTGTAAATGATTTTTGCCATCATCTAGCTCTAACTTGAAGGGATAGTAATATATTATTGCAATGGTTTAGCCCTTTCCATTAAAAGTGCATGTTGGAGTGGGGATGCTGTGTGTATGCGTTTGTGCATAAAAATGAGTTAAGTTCATATTAGTCATCTTCATATTTATTAATAATCATATTTTTATTATCTATCATTATTTTTCATTCTCTACATTATATTGTGAGGCCTAAATGTATAGCACCCAAAACCATTTATTTAGTTTTTAAGTATTGATTTTTTTTTTTTTACTACACCAGAAAATATTTGGTGTAGAAACAATATTTGCTTATAAATTGCTAGTAAATTTCACCAAAAATCACAAAGAAACTGCAAATAACATTGAGTTAAACATGGAATTCTGAATTGGAAAGACTTAAATAGTACGTTCTAGTAAAACATAATCTAGTAATCTTTGTTTTATTTACAACTTCGAAAAGTCATTTTTTTACAGTGTAGAATAGATTAATAATATCAGCCAATTCTCAGGTATGGCACTGATAAAGGGTTGAACCCAAAATGTTTCACACTTGCCAATCTCTTTGACCTTTTGCACTTTTTTGTGGCCTTGATGGAATAAATCTACATAACCTTATGCTTATTTTTTTGTGTGTGGATCATTTTTTTCCTCTCAGTTATTGAACGTAACATGAAAATAATTCTCAACTTATCTTTATCAGACAGAATTTCTATATGGGTGCAGAAGAAAGAAGGCTTCGACAAACTGCACAGAAATTTCAGGAATATTTACTAGTATAACCACCACAGTGACAAATTGCACACACACACAAAAAAAACAATAAATAAATAAATACATTTCTTCAGAATGGTGCATTTGCATTTCAAAATGCTTTGCTTTGTTAAAGCACATACAGTCCTGATGAAAAATGATGAACAATCCACCACAAAAGTGCATAAAGAACAACAGAGCTGCTGATCTTTATGCTTGTATTGCAAATAAATATTGTGGTCTTCCCAGGTTCAGTACTATGCCACACAATCCTCACTGACTGTACAAAAACAAAGGACTCAATACTCAGGGGAGTTCCCACAAGCCTGTTTGTAGCACCACATCCTATAGGTTTACTTATCAAGGACACTTTGGTTCCAGTGACAGCACTCTCTACACATTCACCTAGCTGTGAAGACAGATTGCTGCAGACGGAGCCAAGGAAGCACAGACCCACCAAATGACAATCCCTTCTCCTGCCATGACAACAGGAGAACGCCAGTGGCAAACTGGCCGCTTTACCATATGCACCTTCCAGCCTCTATTTCAATACACATGAGCAGCATTAAACAATAAGCTTGTAGTGGGATGAATTTAAAACGAATTTAAAACTCAGTGATCTAGTACCAGCATGACAGTTGTATGAAGTCTCCAGAGACAACAGAAGCTGGTGGAGTCACCT